TCGGTTCAAGTTTTGACTGAACATGAATTAAGGTAGTTTGCTCCAAGAGTTTCATGTCGAAGAATTCATGCAAATCAACATATAGGTTTATACGGCAAAGTCACACTAGCCCCTCCTTTATGGAGTCCTGGTACGAACATTTCAGTCGGTCAAGACACAATGATGTTTAAGCACCCGTGGTGAGTTTGTGCACCTCAGTTTAACAGTTTTGGCTCGAACATTACGTATGTTCATGGTTCCGGCAAACGCATATGATCCTGGTACCGACAGGAATACTCAGATATCCACAAATTTATGAAACATCACGTGTTTTGATTTAAGACCTACCGTTGTTGTCTTACATCAATATAGCCGTATTGAACAGCTAACACAAACCATTACCCAAATTACACAGCACACCTCATTGCCGCTTGCTCTTAGAAGCTGAGGAAGACATTTTCGCCGTGGCATTCGAGCATCCGATGTCGTAGTTCCTGTTTCAGCTCCATTTATAGATAGATTATTAACCTATTGTCACAATGCTGCTGCCATCATCGTCATCTAAGATGAACAAAGTTTTAGAAACAGAGTTGTCGAGATGAGTTATTGTTATCCGCAGATATTCTTACATTAATGTCGTCATATTGATTGCAGAGGTGTCATTGTTCCAGGACAATTTACTTCAATTTTGGCATGGCTCTGCGCAATTTACAAAACTTTCTTTCTGTAATGAATATGTTTATTTGCCAACAAAAATTAATAAAACGGCTATTGAAATAATGATGAACTTTCTGATTTCGCTCGAAATTTTAAAATTGGAAACTGAACAGTTTATGAGTTAAATATATTTGAGACCTGTGAATATTTTATGACATCAAACTCGCTGTGCCATGATTTGTACCATTACTGTACATAACAGCCTTGTACAAGAACGACATTATACACTTGGATTGGTTTCCGTTTTAGGCGTCAGGTAATATATTTGCTTTCACAGCTTGGAAAGATTGACGTCAAGTACGAAGGACATTGAACAGCAGGGTGTAAGCCAATCTTATCGAATACACGGCTAGAGTATTGGCGAATTAATTTTTGACGAAAGATTTTTGGCATCGTCCAGCGAAAGCATTGGTGTGAAATGAGAATTCCGGTTGAGCATGTCAAAATACCAGCTGATGCCAAATGGACGAACGTGATAAATCAGGTATTCCATTTCGTACATAATTTCAGGTGAAATATAATGGAAAGAAATTACGAAATCGCTGCAGCAGTTCATTCCCTAAAAGTACATATCAATCATTTTAAAAAAAGTTAAAAAAGTTTAGTTCAAAAATATCGAACAACTAATGATAACGATCTTAGATTTAATCGAACTACATTTGATTTGTATCAGAACTGTTCCAGAAGATAATTAATGCATTAGCAGGCTCATACGGGCAAAGTTACATCGTTTCTTCATTCTTAGAAACAAAGAAAGGCTATCTTAGTGTTCAGCCTGGAAGAAGCATGATCAATGAATCGTTTAAAGACTTTAGTGAATGCATCATTTCTTCGGTGAATAAAGTGGTGGGATTAGGAAAAGGACTGCCAACTGTTCGGAAATACGGGGAACACCCCAGTGATTGAAGTGCAGTCGAATACGGCTAAGACAAAGTGCTTAAGACATAACCCTGCATCGTTGAAGGCTGTGCATCGCCCTCTAATTTCTGCAGTCAACCAGAGCAGCAGACGACACAGGAAATTTTGGTAGATGTGTCTATTAGGATACGGAGGCTAGTCCTGTTAGAAGAACAGGTTGAGCATAAACTGCTCAGTCCAGCCCCCCGAGCTTCTTATGTGGGAGTCAAAGCAAAGTTGGTACGGAGTAACAGGTCAGCATGCACACGCACGAAACAGAGTAAAGGCAGTTCAACTTTTGCTGAGGAATTTTCCTCTGCGATACAGTAACCGAGAGATTACAGAAAATAGCACAAACCGCAGAGGATTTACTTATTAAAGGGGCTAAAGGATGCCAACAGACAGGTACAAACACAGGAGCGCAAACACATGCGTTTCTTGTTGCATCTGGAATAAGTTTATTCATTAGATCTGTATATTAATAATCATGATACAAGGCTCAACTAACATCTGGGCTCAAACAACTGGAGTTGTGGCTACTTAAATATTCACAGGGCAAGTAGGAGCAATGAAGCATCAATACGCCTTGCAGTTTGTTAGTGCAGAAATTATTCCCTGTTCGCACACTGTGAAGTCCGAACCCGTATCTTTGCTTGAGTCATGGCACAGTGCGTAAGAGGTCGGTTTCGAACTCTAATTCCTCAGATGCCGAGTTCGATTCCAGTACTTACTCATTGCCTTGAGTAAGCAACTTATCCCATGTTGCTTCAGGCCGGTGTTACGTGGTTGGTAGGGTATCTGACTCAGTCACCTTCTTTCCCTAAATGAGTGGAAAAGAAACGGAATAATGCTGACATGCATGGCACAGACATGTTGACGGTTCTGCTTTACAATTCAAGAACTTCATACTTATAACACGGAATGAGAGATTAGTCACCTACTGTAAATTTCATGGAAAGTCTGGAGGCAATCGTTATGAAACAAGAGTGCTAGGATTAGCCCCATCATGTAAATGTAAACAATGCCTACTTTCAAACCGGTACAACTTAGTTGACTAATTAAATGTATTTATAACAAGTAAATAGCATAATATTCCGTCCAAATAGAAGCAAATCATATTGAAAGGCTGATCTACAAGTTCAGAGGTTTAGAGGATACAAAAAAAAACAAAGATAGTTTTTCAGCAGATGTAAAATATGCTATTTTAAGATATCTAAGATTGATTTGCGTAGCACAATGTAAATATACCTGTGAAATGGAATGTTTAGGCAGTAATCGTTGCCCTCGTCTCAAAAACGTCACACCTTTGGGCGAATCCTTCTTTTGTCATTTTGTCATAATAGCCCTGTAACAAATTCTTGAAGGTGAAGTGGACAACATCATCGAAGTTTCCATCACCACTACCGTCAGGGTTCCCTTCGAGACGAAGACTAAAGATCAAAATAGGACATATATTCTCTCTATCGTTGCCTACCCTGGTGCATTGAAGTCGCTGGTGCTGTTTTCAGCCCCTCACCGTCTTTCCATTC